ACAGAGATATGCCGAGAGGACGGTTGAAGATTTGACTAAGTTATGCATGAAGGTGTCAGCTCCGGAGGAACTTGTTAGAAAGGCTGTTAAATTAGTTGGGTTCACCAACAACATGGGTCGACCACGTCCTATCAGCCACCTCGTGGCTCTTGAGGATTCTGATATCATCAAATGGTATGCGGGTATAGGACGTAAATGGCTTGATTTCTTCTGTTGTTGCCACAATTATAAGACGGTCAAAATCATTGTAAGTTATCATATGAGGTTCTCCTGTATTTTGACACTAGCGGAGAAGCACAGATCCACTAAACGTGAAGCTATTAGACACTACACGAAAGATCTCAAAGTATCAGATCTTGACGGGAGCGAAGAGACGCATTTTCCATTGGAAAGAGAGGTAAAGATAATGGGAGACAAAAACCTTTCAGACCCGAGACCTGTGGAGGGCTCACTGTCTTTGCTTTTGGTCAGGCTTGCATCTGATGAGCCCATGCATTCTTGTGCTGCTAGCTTCTGTGAACGATCAGATACTATCATGTACCGTGTACATCTACTGCAAAACCGTTTACATATCAACCCACTTGATGAAGAGAAATGGGTTCGTGGCATGGGCACAATTCACTCAGCTTTGAACCGGAAATGTCTCCCTTTGTGTTCCACACACATAAGTGATGTATACTTGGGAAAAATGACTCTTCAGGATGTCGATGGTAGTTCATTCATCGATCTCAGTTAATATCTTTCGCTATCTTCTCCAATCAGTAAAGGAGTCTCAACAGACAATGCAGAGCGCAACAAGACAAATGCTTGAGAAACATCAATCTGAAGAAACAAGCTATGAATCATCTGCATCCACCTGAGCTGTTGCTTCCACATATCGGTTCAGGTGTCCAAACTATATGTATATATGTTCCCTGATAATCTTCAATGTCAGAATTGGCACTCTGTTCTGCTATACTCTCCGTGACAACTGTGCATATTTACTGCGACGCGAAATATAAGCGGTTTTTGGTTATGTTTGGTGCTTGAAAGTATGAATATATGTCGAATTGGCGGTTGACAGTTGATGATTTGCCCTTTGTTGCATATTTTGTTTCTTCAGACTGTACAGTGTATGAATCTATCTACATTTGTACAGTGAGAAGCTTTAGCTATAAGTGGACCTTGAATCTTAAGATAGGATTAGTAAGTATGGTTGTGAAAATAAAGGAGAGAGTATGTGAATACAGGAAGTTTTGGGGGCTAATTTGCAAAAAGAGACGAAGATTAAAGATGTGTCAGATGAGTTGCCGACGAGGGGTAAAATCGGAATTAAATCTCAGATCTTCATTTTCTTCGTTGTCTCCCTGCGGTTAGTTTCCGTTTCAGTCACTCTCTCTCTCCATAGATTCAGATGATTTGAGCAAGCAAAGTATATA